GCCCTGCCCCGCCCTCACGGTGAGCAGGAGGCACTTGTTCTCCTTGATGGCCCCGACGCAGCCCACGAAGCCGATGGCCATGACAAAGGTGCCGGTGACAATGAGCAGGTTGGCGGCCGACAGGGACGGGAAAGAGGAGGACAGCGTGGCGAAGTTGCCCTGCGTGGCGGCCAGCCAGATGCCGACTCCAAGGATGCCACAGCCTCCCAGCTGGGATGGGGGGGGGGAGAGGGGCAGTGAGGCCGCAGCCCAGGTGTCCAGGGCAAGCCCACGTGCACCCCCACCCGCCTGCTGGCCTCCCAACACCCCCAATCCACAGCCACAGCGACCAGACGGCAGGGCCCCACGCCTGGGACCTGGTCATGCTGTGGCTGGAGGGAGGCGGTGGTGCTTGGTATCTGCTATCATGAATGGGGCACCCTGTTGAGGCAGCCTGGGCAGGGGGCCCCAGGGCACCCCCGAATGCTACCCCTCCAAGGAGCGTCCCCCTTGCCCCCAGAACATGGCCTGCACCTCGCCCATCCATGCTGCCTGCTCCATGGGTCCAGCCCCACAGCCGCTCTGGACCTGAGCAGCCCAGGGAGACCCCACCTTCGAGGCCTCAGCAGGTCCCTACATGCTCACTCTTCCTAAAAATCTGGCTTCCCAGCGGGTGGCCCAACGACTCCAAACACCAGATCCCACGTGGCCGCCACCTTGTGGGCCCCTCTGAGTGTCCCCAGCTGTCCCCTAGTAAGCACAAGCCCCAAAGCACCGGTGGGCCTTCTAAGAGTTCGGGCAGGGGTGGAGCAGAGCGCCCGCCCCCTGCCCTCGCTGCCTCCTCCCACAACCACTGGAGCCCTTATTGGATTTCATAACTGCTCATTATTACAAAAATCAATTAAAACAAGAGGAAGAAGCGGGAGAGGCAGGGCAGTGATGAACCCAAAGAGGGCTCTTAGCCTTGTCCAGTGATGGGGACGCCCGGCCTCGGGGAAGCAGGAGCAACCGCGACTGGCCGAGGGGGCTGAGGCTCCAGCCCCCACCCTCACACACTGAGGCCTTGGGCTCTGGGTTGGCTCAGGGTGAAACGGGGGATGTTCCAGGGAGCGGGCTGGGGGCTCTCCCCCCCACAAATGCTGACCAGCACCTGGGGACCGATGGCCAACGGCTCTGGGGAAGGCTAGGCAGCCCTGGGGGCCCTGCCCCACTCTAGGACTGGACAGAGATGTGGGACCCTGTGCCCCCATGAGGGCCCGGGAGCGTCCTGGCAGTCTGGCCTCGGTCCCCATGTGCTTGGCCAACGGGCAGTCTGGGCACAAGTCCTGCCCCCCAGAGTGTTCACCTTGCACACCCAGGACAGCGGGGCCACCAGACTCCAGAGGACACAGTGTTACTCACCCAAGGCCACCAAGAGCCCCACATCACCCCACAAAAGCCTCCCCAGCCTCAACAGCCAGACTCACACACCATTTCCCAGACAAGCGAACCGAGACTGGGAGATGAGCCGCCCACCCAGCCAGCCCTGAGGAGCTGGCCACACATCCCCACCCCACTCCTCAGGCCTGGGGCGTCGACCCCGACAGGGACCCCGCAACTCAGGCAGGCCCTGTGGGCCCTGAGCCTCTCCCCCACCACAGTCAGCCTGGCCACAGCGGTGGGGGTGGCAGGTGCCGCTGGTCTCCATAGCTCACCCGGGAGTGCACATGGTGCATTAAGCCCGGCTGGCTGGTAGGAGACCACAATTACAGGGGGTGGGGGTGCAGCTCAGCCCAGGCCTCCTACAGCGTCTGGAGTCCCTCTGGACCTTGCCCAGGCTGAGCAGAAGGAAAGCCCCCAGTGGAATGTCCACCCGCCAGTGGGGGGGTCCAGTCAGCCCAAGGCCAACACCTTCCCCAAAAAACAAGGACTGTTTGAAAATTACAAACAACACCTTTTCCAAAAAGAAAACAAAAAAAACACCTTTTCTGATGCTGTTGGCTCAGGATAGAGCCTGGGAAGCTCTACTGAATGGCCACCTGGTGTTGGGTACCCCCAGACGGGGCTCCTCCATCCATGGTCTGGGGTCACAGAGCCTGGCTGCACCCCTCCCAGAGCAGGATGGGGGAAGGAAGTGCCTAGGCCCTGTGCTTCTAGGTACCAGGTTGGAGGGCCCCTGGGACAGAGGCTGACCGGCCCCAGCACTGACTGACCGGCCCTGGAGGTTCCCAGAAGGGCCACCATGTGTGACAAGCATCTCTACCCTGGCCAGGATTAGAGCCTGGCACATGTCCCACTCAGCATGTCTCCTGATCAAGCTCAGGGCTGTGATTAGGCTCCAAAGGNACAGGATTAGAGCCTGGCACATGTCCCGCTCAGGATGTCTCCTGATCAAGCTCAGGGCTGTGATTAGGCTCCAAAGGCCAGGGGGGCAGGAGGCCAGGGAGGCTGCCGGGATGGGAGATCCAGGACCCTCTAACTGGACACGTCACCTGGTGTCTGCGCCCCCCCCACACACACTTGGCAGCTGGTCGCTCACACCCCAGCACACACCCAGGCAGGCACCCCAGGCAAACACACACCTCAGAGCCGGGNGGGCAGGAGGCCAGGGAGGCTGCCGGGATGGGAGATCCAGGACCCTCTAACTGGACACGTCACCTGGTGTCTGCGCCCCCCCCACACACACTTGGCAGCTGGTCGCTCACGCCCCAGCACACACCCAGGCAGGCACCCCAGGCAAACACACACCTCAGAGCCGGGTTTGGGCACAGCCCCAGGGTGGGGCGGGTGTGCTGGCTGTAGGGAGATGTGTGTGCCCCCCACCTGCAGGATGGATGGAGGCTGGCCCCCCCACCGGCAGCCAGGGGTGGTGCTATCCATGGTGCTGACCTCAGGCAGGACCAGGGTCAGGGAGCTAGACTGGGCCACCAGCACCTCTGGGCACCCTGAGCCTGCCTCTGGGAGGGGCCGCTAGTGACATCATGGGGCACAGAGGGAGCAGGGATGAGCACTGACTCAATCCTCCCACCTGCCTGCCTGGCTGCACCCCTCCTTGTCCCCATGCCCATCGGGACACCCAGCACCTCATCCCCACGGAACTCGTGGGATCTGCAAGGACCCTGGGAGGGAGGCTGAGGCTGGGGGCACCCACTGGGGCACTGTGTTCAGAAACAACACCATGCAGACCCGCACTGGGGCAGGGGAGAGACCCAGGGGGGAGGGTGAGCCACCCCTCTGTGGAGGGAGCTGGAAGTCAGGCCCTCTCTGGCTGTGACCCACTGGGGTCAGCTGACCCCTGGCCCCTAACTGGCTCATAGCTCTGGGTATCAGAGGGTCACAATTAGGTGGGTGGGGCTGCCTCTTGGGGCAGGTCCCTGAGCAGAGGAAGGTGCTGGGCTGTTCTTTAAAACCCAAACCGCCTGTGCTCTGCCTTCAAGGGAGGTGGATGGCTCCTGTCTGCGGGAAAAACGAGACCATGCTGCCTGGTGGGGGGACTTGGGGAAGGGAGCAGAGGGATGCTGCCGGGCAGAGCGGCCATAGGGGACAATAAAGAGATGACAGGAAGGGGCAGTCCAGGTTCCGGGGGGCCCAGGAGGCGTGGACCCCACTGCCAGTCCTGGTGGACACATCTCTTCTTAATTAACACTTAGAGAAATGTCCTGGCCTCCACCCTGAGATGGCAGGAGAGACCCCCGCTGGCTGCGACCCGGACACATGCCATCACACACCCTGTGACACAGACAAGGGCCCACGTTGTCACAGATGCCTCACCATCACAGTGTCACTTGCGACAACGTACACACCCTCACAGGCCACAGACACACTGCCCTGTGCCCCGTCACCCCCACCGGGCCCAGGTCCCTCCATGTTCAAGTACATTTGCAGAGAACAGCCACCAAAACTCACAGACACGCCCACTGACAGAGTGCACACCCGTGCTTAATAAAATCACCTGTAATTTTGAAATGTTTCTGCGTGTGCAGCTTTTAAAACATTTTGGCAGGAAAATTACAGCCTCCGAGTGCAGGAGGAAATGGGCCCCGTTACACCCACAGAACATCTCACGCAGGATAAATGCAGCTAAGTCCCCAGGGGCCAGGAGCTCTAGTCCCCCCCTCCCAGGTCAGGTGGGCCAAGACAGCAAAGCTGGGGATCCAGGACCCCGCCCAAGCTTACCAATGTCCCACCCTGCACCTCCCCAGCCCCTTGCTCACTGCCTGAGGCACTGGACCCACTCCCCAGCCAGAGAGAAGCCCAGGTGGACCCAAGAGCAGGCCCCGACCCAAGGACAGCCTGGGAGAGGAGGGTCCTCCACCCCAGCCCTGCCATCAACTGAAGCCTCCCTGTCTCTCTCCCATGCACCCTGAGCCCTGCCCTCACCTATCCCCAGCTACAACCCCCCTTCCTGCTGTAGCTGTCTTGTCTGTGGATTTTTCAGGTTGGCCTCGGGCATGGTTGGTGATGCCATCACCTCCAGGCCCATGCGGGGCAGGTGCCAGCAGGCCCTCTGCCGATGCCCCTCTGGCCACACGGCTCAAAGTGGCAGATGGCTGGGCAGTAGGCCATGTCCTTGGAATGGGGTGGAGGGCTGGGTGCCCACAGGGGCCAAGCCTGTGCCCAGAAGCCCCTCACCTGGCAGCCGGCACAGCCTCAGGGTGGGGGCTGGGCATGGTGGAGATCACCATCTACACATAGTTCAAGAATTTGTCCGCTGTGTCAGAAATCAGGTCTGTGGCTGCCCAAAGTGGGGTTGGGTGGACTGGGTAAAGGGGCCAGGGCTTCCCCACCTTGGCCGAATGTTTTTACCGGGGTCACAACTCCACGCTGTTCACTTAAAATCTACACAATTGGCTGGAATTAATCTTCTTAGTCACCATGAGCCCCCAAGTCCTCATTGGTGCTGTTCTCTCATCCCTAACCCTAGGAGCCCCCCAGGTAACCCCAAGGCTCAGAGATGAGCATACACAGCCCTGGCCCATCCTAGAAATGGCCCCACTAACCAAGGACCCCCTGAGGCCAGTACCCGGGGGGGGGGAATGCAGGGGAGAGACAAGGACCACGGCAGGGCTGCCTGGGAGTGGAGAGTGAGGGGCGGCCACCAGGCAGGGCCCCAAAGGGCAGGACCTCACTGGCTTAATCCTCGGGGCAGCCATGGAGGAAACACCGAACCCGGTGCTGTTCCGCAGGCTGGAGACGGGAACCATGGCCAAGGGTGGGAGATGAAGCTGGGGCCCGGGACTGTCCCAC